GAAATGTTTAATAATGAATAAAGTTTCTTAACTTATTAACAGGTTGAGTGGTAAATGTGTTTCTAAAGCAGAGAATTATAATGGGTTAGGGTACAGTAAGATGCACTTTACTCATATCTCATCCTTATTTTGTCAGATATCTACAAAGTGAAAATTTTTAATCCCTGGATTACATAATAACTTTTAATCACTCCTGCCAGATTTGAATCTTCAAAAAAGGCCCGCATATCTCCCATCACATACAATATATTCTGGCAAGATACGATTTTATGAACCTCTAAGCAAGTTAACTACTATCAAGGCCCTGGCCAAGCACTGTCATGAGAGAATATTATTGCCAGGAGGTTGCAGTCGTTTGCTACAGCACATAAAAACCTTGGTGATTATTTGATACAGTTTTATCATCATGTTGTGTGCTCAGTCAGCTTGGAGCCTGTATAAGACGACTTCTCGAGTTTTCAGGAACTTGAACCTCTGTTGCTACAAATCATTCCGACCCCATCTATTCCAAGCACACAAGGAGAGATAGCAACCCACTGAATCTGTGGGTCGAGGCTATGCACCATGTAAGATTGGAGATGGTACAATTTCCATCACATATTATGCAAATATCAGTTGGCTTTGGGCAGATCATAACCATTGCAATTACAAGTATAACACCCTGCCTTGAAAGCCACTGTCAACATCACCTAAACATTTACCAAAAATATAATAAAAAACATCTGCAAATAACTGACAAAAGCAAATTGTAATATCCTCATCACAGTGTTCCCAAGTGAATTCTTCACTGAACATTAGGGTGAGGACACAGTTGCAAAATGACAATGTACATTTTATAATATCCTTTATGGGAGCCTCCCAAGTCTTAAAACAAGACAAAACCAAAAATATAAATACGTTAAAAATACCTGCGAAACGAACTTTGAAAAGTTTCCATAAAAACACAGCAAAAGGGTACGACAGAAATACTCTACAAATAATCTTACAAACGGAATAGATCTTACTGCGAAATAAAAATGAAAAACTTTCTGAATCAGACTTAAAAATCACTGCAATCACACCGAACGGTTAAAGCCTAAATAGAAAACTGTTATTCCCACAAAGCCCGTAACGCTCGCAAGCTCAAACACGTCCTTCCTTGAGCTTCATCTTTTGTCCACACATTTCTCCTCATATATCTCGTGAAATACCCCTTCCCGCACCTATTTTACACCTCAGAGGCAAACTCGGCGACAAGACCCTGTAATTGATACATTACCTGAGAAGCAACACGAGGTCCTAACACTTCAAAATCTGGAAAAATCACAAGGAGTGCGCGAGAGGAGATTTAAAAGGCGGCGGTTAAAGTCTCGCTCTCAGTCAGCTGGAATCGCGGGTGGGAGTTGCCAGCGAGGGTTTTCTTGCGGCGTGAGGAGAGGGAAACCCGCACCAAACAGAGAGCTTGTGTGTATGTATGTATGTATTTATATTTGTATGTGTATGGGGGGGTCAAAAAGATATAAAATAAAAAATAATACTTACTTATAAATAGATATACGTACGTGTCCTCTTTGAGGAATGTAATGCACACATACACATACGCACACAAACATACACACACACACACACACACACACACACACACACACACAACACACACACACACACACACACACACACACACACACACACACACACACACACACACACACCAACACACACACACACACACACACACACATACATACAATATACATATAATATACATATACATGTATATATATATATAATATAATATATATATACATATATGTATGAATATATAGTCTTTGGAGGATTGTATGTATGCACACATACACACAAACGTGTGTGTGTGTGTGTGTGTTGTGTGTGTGTGTGGTGTGTGTGTGGTGTGTGTGTGTGTGTGTGTGTGTGTGTGTGTGTGTGTGTGTGTGGTGTGTATAAGGAATCGGACGAAGATTCGGGGAGAGAAAAAGAGAAATAAGAGGAAGAGGAGGAGAGGAGGAGAGAGAGAAGAGAGAGAGAGAGAGAGAGAGAGAGAGAGAGAGAGAGAGAGAGAGAGAGAGAGAGAGAGAGAGAGAGAGAGAGAGAGAGAGAGAAGAGAGAGAGAAGAGAGAGAGAGAAGAGAGAGAGAGAGAGAGAGAGAGAGAGAGAGAGATGATATTTACATGAATGCACAATTCAGCTTGTTCCTCCACATTACATCTCTTCCATTCTGTTAGACAATTGGTTTGACTTTCCTGGAGGCAGGGACGAGTTTGCCTCCCGCAGGCGTGTTGCAGTATACTCGAAGTTAAATAAAATTTTGCAGTTGCATAATTTTTGACATTTTATCGGAATGCTCTATATTTTTCTAAACCAGAATCACAATTCATTCAAGATACAATTCATGAAAAAATACAACTATTTTTTTAGTGGTGTAAACAGAGCCTCAGCAATAGGAAATGTTTTCCTCAAATGGGGCCCTCCATACAGATACAGAAGCTTTACACTCCCACTTCACACTAGATATCTATTTACATACACGTTCTATCTATTTTTAAAAAAATCTTCCAAACTATCACATCAACATAGATATTACATCGTTTTAAGCATTTTACAACCTGTATGACCAACCATTTACCCAAGTCACCCCCCATTATCCAAAACGTTTTCTAATTCCTCTCGTTTTCTGTTACTCGTCAGTGTGGCGGGAAGAGCGGCTATGTAAACAACGCTTGAAGTGACACACGAAATAAACCACGATGGAGAAGGTTATCCTCTTCTTATCAACAGGTATTATTATTGTGAATGTGGAATGAGATTGACTTTTGATGAATGTATTGATTAGATTCAGTGATTACGTCGGGAGGTCTCTTGTAATGTTAGTTGTGTGGGTTGTTTTCCCGGAAGTTTTGAATAATTGTTGTAAAGTTTTCTAATTGCTTTGATTTCCAGAGTATATGAATAATTTTGTTAATGGGGCTGATGTTTTACAGGTTGGAATAATAGCCTCTGGATCACAAAGTGTAATCCTCAAAAATAAAAAACAGCTATGAAATACAAGGTTTCTTGCGGAAAATAACATTGTATTTTCCTGTTGCATATTTTCTTCATACAGATTTCTGTTTATTATATTTTCATTATCAGCTGTTTACCCTGCCTATTTAATACATCATTTCATTGAAGATTTAGAAATAAGAGTATGGAATTAAATTAATGATTCACTAATTTCACAGCGATTGGGGTCCACATAAAAGGATTTTTGACCCAGGGTTATTTGTCAGAGAAAATAGGGTCTCAGAGGGGAGTGCGGTCACTTTGTATACAATTCCCTCCTTATAGTAAGTTGTATCAAGGTTTCAGTATCTTTGGCTCTGAGGAAAAGCAGACCTTCATGATCTTTCTTTTTTTTCCGTTCTGTTATTATACCTTTCGGGCATTTGCACAGATATTGCCATAGGAGAACTTTGCCTTGATTTATACCATTCTATCATTTCATAGATAATGAAAATGCCAAGTGAAGACTAAGTCCTTGTCAGTTGGACTTAGGGATAGAGAAATATAGGGTTTTGGTGTGGGGTCTGGGTTAGAAGAATATATGACATACCTAGTGGCCATAATAGCGTTCAAATTTTGCAGTATATGACTGAATAGTAGATGTTTAGAAGACACCCATGCTACATTAATAGTGAGCATGTGGCAAAGGATAACAAACCTTCAGCCCACATTAATCAGCAGCATGGAGCTTATAGGCCTCTTGGTTATATAATTTCATAATGTCAGTCAAGTCAATCCAAGCTGTAACTAGCCTTTCCCAAGTACCATACAAAGCTGTGATAATCACCTGTCAGCAGTGTTGATACAGCTGAACTTTAAACTGTAGGCCATCAGGACAGGCCAATAGTAAATTTGAAGTGGAACTATATATTCAATTATTTAGTTACAATTTTAAGTAATTTTTTTATTAGAAATGTGATTTAGTATCAAAGTACCAAGTTCCTGACAGGTCATGATTCAGGTCTTGTAAAATTTATTCTTTTGAAATTATTTACTTTTTTTGATTATTTTATACCTACAATCGAGTTTGGAGGGAAATGATGTCCAGCTTCCTTAAAAATCAAATGCATCTAAGAAACATTCCTATTCATATTATCTTTTGAGATATATAAAAAATCCATATTTGTCTTTTTCACTTGCCTTATAACTTGCCTCAGTACTGCAGTGGTTAAAGAGTATTTGATTAATTATCTATACTAGAGAGGAAGAACCAGTACATCACCAAGGAACTAGAAAGCAGCCAATTGAGTGCAATAAAGAAAGAGGATGTAAAAAGCACTTCAAGTTGTCACTTGTGCCTAGCACATCTGCAGTTCAGGGAGTCCATGAGGAGCAAATGCACACGATGGTCACACAGTTACCCTGGCATGAGTGGGGCCAAGACTGATGCACTTGATGAATACTATGCAAGTGTGCAGAGAGAGGAGAGGGAGCCAGTTGAAGCAACAGGATCAGGAAGCTATAATCAGGTATAAAACATTTATGTTATAGCTACACACTTTTTGCACAATTTGTAGAATAGTTGAAGAATTGGTTATATAAACCTTTTTTTTCTTCAGGTATATGACTTTTTCCCTTCTTGCTGAGGCAGTACACAAGTTTGCAGACAGTTTAGAAGATACAGGAAGTTACTTGCTTCTATGTCTTTTGGTGTGTGGACAAATATGTCCAAACCCCAGGTATGTTATGTGAAAGGCTGTATTATACAGTTAGAAAGATGAGGAAAAAAAACAGGAAAACATCTATGATAAAATATGATAATATGGTAATTGATACTTATATTGTATATTTATTACTTTCATATTACTTTGAATATTGCCACAAATCCCATCTAAGGCTTCTTTTATTATCCTGCAGTGAAGTTCCAGAGTTTTTATGGCAGTTTAAGAAGGCTTGAACAATGGCACTTTGGTGGCTTGTATATATCTTGTGCAATCAAACATTAGTGTCAATGGCCAGACTTTTTAACGCTTCATATCACTTCAGGCTGTTCTCAGGTGAGTTGCATAAACTGCATTATTCCAGGATATGAGAGGGATGGATAGTTTGAAGTAAAGGACTGCTCTTTTTCAACATTGTTTTTTGTAGTATAGTGATATATATATATATATATATATATATTATATATATATATATATATATATAATATATATATATATATATATATATAATAATATATATATATATATATATATATATATATATATATATATATTATATATATAATATATATATATATATAATATATATATATATAATATATATATATATATATATATATATATATATATATATATATATATATATAATATATATATATATATATATATATATATATATATATATATATATATATATATAATATATATATTAATATATATATATATATATATATATATATATATATATATATATATATATATATATATATGTATATGTATATATATATATATATATATATTATATATATATATATATATGTATATGTATATGTGATGAAATTGAATACTACTGTTTACAATGGCTTTGTTTCTTTTCCCAAGATAATAGAGACTATTGTAAGCACCATGTGGAGAGGTCAGCTGGCAGTCACTGAAGAAGGAACAGGGAGTTCCATGGTTCTCCCTGAATGTGTTGTGCAGTGCATTAGTGGCCAGCCTGCATTGGGAGCAGATCCTAAACAGGTTTGGCAACTTTTATGAATGTGTCCTTAAATTGTGATAGAAATGACATTATTTGACTTTCCCAAAATATGTAAAGTCTGGTTGAATAGGATTACTTGATAATTGGCTAATTCATTTTA